AAACTTACTATTTCTAGATCTTAAGTTTTAGAAATTTAAATGGTTATTTTTTAACGTTTTCTCGAAATCCATGCTTTTTACACCTGGTGGAGCCACGCTCATATTATGGCTGTAGCACGAATGGGTCGGTTCGACCGGAGAAGGACAAAGCTTTCACAGAATACCAGCATGAAATAGCAGCTTTATGCTTTTTCACTTAGTGTTTCGTATGGTGAGTGTAGAGAACCGGAGACCCTTTTTACTGGAAACGGCATTCCATCTTAGTCATCAGGTATGGTAACGAATCTGTATTTTGATTCTCAATCGACGATATATGTAGGTGTCTATGTCATACGGCATCCAGTTGCCATCAGGTGGACTGTGTGCTCCTATGTCATATCTTTATTCTATAAAAAAAAATTTAAACTTATATTCCTGTGGTACTTCTTATTGTCATCTAATGTGTATTTGTGTTTTTTAATCATTAAAAGGCAGTGCTTGACGATTATCCCACCTGATGGTAAGTTGTGATGCCGCCAATGATGATAAAGCGTTAGTGTTAATCAGGCCATCCATGACCAGGCGCCACTTAAAGTGGAAGTTAATTTGTTCGAAAAACGTAACGGTTACTGTGTCTTTCTATACTATTAGTTATATTTTCTACGTAGTAGAGCCATGCTGCACCTACATTACTGGTATAGTTGTAGCACGAATGGGTCGACTCGACCGGGGAAGGACCACGCTCTCACAGAATACCAACGTAAAATAGCAGCTTAATACTGCTGTGTTTCGTATGGTTAGAGATCCGGAGACCCTTTTTTAGTGGTGACAGCGCATCTGCGTTTTGATTCTTAATCGACGATAAATGTAGTTGTCTATGGGCCACGGCATCCACTTACCATCAGGTGGAATTAGTGCTCGTTTGTCGCACCTATTTTATAAAAATAAATTAAATTAAAAACAAACCGAACCACAGATATTTATAAAAAAATAAAATAAAAAAAGAGTTTAAAATATGCAAACAATTAAAGAACAAACCTGCGAGACATTGTTTTGTGTTAAACTGATAAAGTTTTATTTAAAATTAACTTCTCCATTAGATGACATTGTGTAACAATAAACTTAATCTCAGTGTCAACTAGTGACTACTCGTAAGTTTTAAAATAATCCAAGAACTACTTGAGGGTAACAAAGATACAAAACAATTTTTTGAGTTCCACTTTAAGTAGTTTTTTATGTTTCCACGTAAAATTTTGAATTATGTTAGATGATATCCAGGAAAAGAAAGTATTGTTTGCTTGGAATATTGTTAAGCGCTCGCTTCTCAAACAATTCGTTTTTTATTTTGTTATTTTTTTTTAATCTTTTTGTGTATAATTAAGTTGTAAAATTATATGTTACGTTAAATTGCTAGTGCCCACTAAAATTTGTATTGAAATGGTCCAATAAATATTAAATATCTCTTAATTTTTTTAAATACTAGAATAAAATGTTATATCTAAAGTTGGAAAGAAAAATGTTTAGGATTTTTAGTTATGAAATGGCGATACAATGATTACCCCCAATGAGCAGTTTTCAATTATCAAAAAAAAAAACCGTTTTGATAATTGAAAACTGAATCGCTAATTAAGTTGCCAGCTAAATCCAGCCAGCAGGAATTGATGGATTATTGCAAATGAAAACGTTTTCGCTCGCACTTAAACTTGGCATAAATCTGAACGGGTAATGTTCCGAAAATGTTTTGCTATTTGTACATGTCGTAGGAATATTATGTCGATAATGGTTAAACCAAAGTACTGTATAGTTACTTGGAAAAACCCTTCGCTTCGCAGAACATTCCTTATTATACTCTTAGGTCCTTTAAAACATTTTTATATTATTAATTTAAAAAAATGGAACAGTATTTTTAACGATTATTACTTGTGGCTTTACCTTGCTATTTCAAGGGGTACAACTTTCGTGCTACTTCAAAGGTCTTCCTGAGGAAGTGTCAAACCACGGTCGCTACTTCCTTTCTACCCACCCCTGTCTCCGTGCACCCCGGGATAGGATGCAAGGGGTTGCAGTCAATGACCTCTGAGCGATGTTTACTGTGCGATTTTGAAGACACAAACAACGAGTTTTGGTTTATTTTTCGGGGATCGTTTAGTTGATCGATCGCTGCTCACTTATCTGTGTTGTTGACGCTTTAATATGTTAGTGCAAAATACGTTTAAAACATTTTATATATTTTTAGTCAAGCTATTACTTGAATTATGCTTAGGTAAATGAGAGACAGTCCTTTTGTGAAATCATTTTGTAAATTTATTGAAAAGTCCAGATTTTGTAAACTCAGTTTGAACAGAGACAAAAGTAATTTTGTTAGTTGTAATTGATATGAGACAAAATGTTTTTATTGTTGAAAAACTTATTTTATTTATGACTGTGAATGCAATGATTAAACGCATAAATCTTCTTCATCAGAAGGGAGGATTAAAAAAATACCTTAATCTGATACGCTTTAACCATATGTTGGTCCCATGTGGTTGATGAGTATTAGATTACTGCTGTAAATAATAAGTTTCTCCCATTGGAGGCCGTAGGCATAACCTTATAACACCGTCAGGGAAGCTGAAACAGCCACAGCTACAAAAATAAAAAAAATACCTTAGTCTGATACGCTTTAACCATATGTTGGTCTCATGTGGTTGATGAGTATTAGATTACTGCTGTAAATAATAAGTTTCTCCCATTGGAGGCCGTAGGCATAACCTTATAACACCGTCAGGGAAGCTGAAACATCCACAGCTACAAAAATAAAAAAATACCTTAATCTGATACGCTTTAACCATATGTTGGTCTCATGTGGTTGATGAGTATTAGATTACTGCTGTAAATAATAAGTTTCTCCCATTGGAGGCCGTAGGCATAACCTTATAACACCGTCAGGGAAGCTGAAACATCCACAGCTACAAAAATAAAAAAATACCTTAGTCTGATACGCTTTAACCATATGTTGGTCTCATGTGGTTGATGAGTATTAGATTACTGCAGTAAATAATAAGTTTCTCCCATTGGAGGCCGTAGGCATAACCTTATAACACCGTCAGTGAAGCTGAAACAGCCACAGCTACAAAAATAAAAAAATACCTTAGTCTGATACGCTTTAACCATATGTTGGTCTCATGTGGTTGATGAGTATTAGATTAATGCTGTAAATAATAAGTTTCTCCCATTGGAGGCCGTAGGCATAACCTTATAACACCGTCAGGGAAGCTGAAACATCCACAGCTACAAAAATAAAAAAATACCTTAATCTGATACGCTTTAACCATATGTTGGTCCCATGTGGTTGATGAGTATTAATTAGATTACTGCTGTAAATAATAAGCTTCTCCCATTGGAGGCCGTAGGCATAAACTTATAACACCGTCAGGGAAGCTGCAACAGCTACAGCTACAAAAATAAAAAAATACCTTAGTCTGATACGCTTTAACAATATGTTGGTCCCATGTGGTTGATGAGTATTAATTAGATTACTGCTGTAAATAATAAGTTTCTCCCATTGGAGGCCGTAGGCATAACCTGATAACACCGTCAGGGAAGCTGAAACATCCACAGCTACAAAAATAAAAAAATACCTTAGTCTGATACGCTTTAACCATATGTTGGTCTCATGTGGTTGATGAGTATTAGATTACTCCTGTAAATAATAAGTTTCTCCCATTGGAGGCCGTAGGCATAACCTGATAACACCGTCAGGGAAGCTGAAACATCCACAGCTACAAAAATAAAAAAATACCTTAATCTGATACGCTTTAACCATATGTTGGTCCCATGTGGTTGATGAGTATTAATTAGATTACTGCTGTAAATAATAAGTTTCTCCCATTGGAGGCCGTAGGCATAACCTTATAACACCGTCAGGGAAGCTGAAACAGCCACAGCTACAAAAATAAAAAAATACCTTAGTCTGATACGCTTTAACCATATGTTGGTCTCATGTGGTTGATGAGTATTAGATTACTCCTGTAAATAATAAGTTTCTCCCATTGGAGGCCGTAGGCATAACCTTATAACACCGTCAGGGAAGCTGAAACAGCCACAGCTACAAAAATAAAAAAATACCTTAGTCTGATACGCTTTAACCATATGTTGGTCTCATGTGGTTGATGAGTATTAGATTACTCCTGTAAATAATAAGTTTCTCCCATTGGAGGCCGTAGGCATAACCTTATAACACCGTCAGGGAAGCTGAAACAGCCACAGCTACAAAAATAAAAAAATACCTTAATCTGATACGCTTTAACCATATGTTGGTCTCATGTGGTTGATGAGTATTAGATTACTGCTGTAAATAATAAGTTTCTCCCATTGGAGGCCGTAGGCATAACCTTATAACACCGTCAGGGAAGCTGCAACAGCTACAGCTATAAAATAAAAAGTACGGTTGCCATTCCACTTTCCAAGCGTGGCAACTATGGCAGAAACTATGAGGCACCTATGGAGGAGGCCTATGTTTAGCAGTGGAAATTTATGGGCTATAATGGATCGATGGATGCGATTGTAAGATGGACTTGCTATAATCATCACGCCTAGATGCGGATTTGCGTTCTTTACATTAAAACAAAAACTGTTTATTTTATTGTATGTATACCTACATAAGACTAAAATGGGTTAACTATGTTAAAATAGTAATGAAGTTGATTTTAATTTTCATAATCAATCAATAGCATTGTGTTTTTGACACAACTAACATTTATTAAATAAAATATTATATTATTAACAGTATTTAAAGATTATGCAGTATCTCATCGTCTTGAAACGACCTCTATGATATAATCTTTTTTAGAGAAATTTACAATGTTACCAATAAAAAGAGGATATAAACGATCTTTACGTCGACAATTTGAAGTAAACAATAAAATTTAGAAGATATTACATAGGTGTTAATTTTAAACTTTTCTGATTTACAGTTAATAATAAATGTAGCAAAAGATATGGCTAGAAACATGAAAATGTATCGCGCTGTTTGGTTACAGATAAACTGGTAGGCGTTCACTGCACGCACGGCTTGAACCGCACCGGCTATATGGTTTGCCGGTACATGCGGGACCGCCTCGGAGTGCCGGCCGCCGTCGCCATCAGACGTAAGTCAACTCAGATTTACAGAATTAACACTCGAGAAATTAAATTTAGTTTTCATATGTTTTCTTCGTAACTCACTTATGAATATTTTCTATATAATTTCTTCAAAGTTACCTAATTTACATGAAATATCAGCTCAGAGGCTGAGCGCTCGCCGTAAAGCGCACAGAGTGGTATAATATATTATTAACATGCTTTTGTAAGCTTCGCATGTATCTATCTATCTATGTAACGGAATGTTTTGATGTAATTTCCAACTTTTAAACTTTTAAACGGCCGATTGACTTGAAAATTTGCACTCGTATCAATGACCGATGACAACAACAATAATTTAATAACTTTATCTAGTATTCTGATCTAAGTATGAATTAGTCTATATTCGGCTTATGAATTAAACCAATCTAGCTGTTTCAATATGGGTGAGACTTCTAATCTTTCTCGCAGCATATGCTACAGAACTAAGTCTGCTGGCTGCATTTGCTTTTAGATATGGACCCCCAATTGGAATTTCGATTCAATAGTAATTTAAAAAAAATGTAATCTACAAAACTCAATTTCTAAAAATGGAAACTGAATGGTTATTTATTTTTTATAACTAAATTTTTTTACAGGATTTGAGCTGGCGCGTGGATATCAAATTGAAAGGGACAACTATGTAGCTGATTTACTAGGAAAAAGACCGCCATCCCCCGACATTGGTCTTGAAACAACAATTAAACCTATAGCTCAAAAAGACAAATCGAAGAACTGGAAAGTGTCGCGCTTTGATCAAAAAGCGTATGATGGAGAAGAGACAAAATTTTACAAACGCAAATTCAACAGGGAGCGATCAGAAGAAGAAAGTCGAAGAGGGAAAAGAAGAAGAAATAGATCTAGTTCAGACTATTCCGACAGATCATTTGATTACAAATTCGATTACTGAAATTTTTGAACATCGGATGTAAATAATTATAGTTGCTAAATCCTTCCACATATTATTTTCTTATACGCGGATATATTTCAATTTTGGATATGAATCACGTATTAAAAATTTCACAGTACCATGATGTGCGGCTACTTGTGTTTATATGTGTACGAAGTATCTAAATTATTTACAAGTCGTTGTACCCTCTCTCTGTCATTATTGTTATGTAACTGTTGTAAGTATTTATACAGTTTTGTTTTAAAAATCGGGAACTAAGAGTATAAAAACTGGCATCGATAAACTTTTTAGATATTTTATTTTCACAATAAATTGCAACGACATTATAATAGTTTTATTTTATTTTCCTATATTTATTTTTCTATTGTAAAAAAATCCCTTATCGGTGTTGCTCCACATTGCTCAGAAGCGGTGAGTAAGACATCCATCGCTCATGAGAACAAGTCTAATTACGGGAGTTGGTATAGTCACGTATACTGATGTGAACTGCGCACGTGCCTGATGATATCGCGGTGCTTGAAGATTGGGTGGCTGATGTTTGATATTGACGAAGCATACGCTTCTCGCCATCGTCGGCGCTGCAGCTGGTATGCAGTTTTGGAAGAAATGTTAAAATTAGAATTGTTACAGTGATTATGGTGATCAAATAATTATCGTGAGTTATTATCATCTGCCTAATCTTGGTAGTAGGTATCTAAAACTTAAATACATATTTTTTATACGTTTAAGACGTGCTAGTTATTTATTCTAGTCTATATTTCTTATTTCTTGCACAAGGTTGATATTAAGATGAAAGTAAGTGTAACGTGATCTCTAATTTTACTTATGCTTACCTCTTATATGTACCTTGTATTTTTGACGTCATGAGACTCGGCGGGTAAAACTTCCAAATAGATCGTAGCGCAGTTCTTGTAAAAAGTGCACACGATCCATGTTCGTTCCTTCTTAACAGTCACGGTTGTTTTTAAATTCGTGTAATAGTGATTCCTTTAATAATTCTTAATTTCGGAACTTCACAACTTTGAAAGCGAATGTTTCAAAAGGGCGTTCAATTTTCACTACCGGCCTGTTGTAACTTTACTCACTACAGTAATGGCAATTAAAAATTTAGTAACGTTGTGTAAACCGCAGTAGATTAAGTTAAGCCAGAATAGAACACTAAAAATTAAGAGCATTACTGTATTTCGAATATAAGAAATATATTTTGTACAAAGTAAAAAAATAACATAAACTGATAAAAATAAATTTAACAAAGGCCAGCGTTATTTTTTTATACTGGCGAGCTTACCTAATTTTTAATTTTATTTTCATAATCTTTAACAAGTGAAGTTTCTCCCTCATAAAAATATATATTCGAGTTTAAAGTTGTTAAATATATCACGGTTTTAAAACAAACAAAAGGCAGTAAGATAAAATCCGAGGAGCTATTTATTAAAAGAAACCGTTTTTAACGTAATATGCAATAAAGTTGATTTCCTCTCCACTTGCTTCGATGCCCTTAAGATTGTGTTTACGAAATATGTCGTGGAGGAATTTAACTTACACATATTCGGATAATTGTCTCGAGTATATTTGTGGTCGTACTACAATCATAAAATTTAATGAACTTTTGGTAGGTAAACTTTCTTGTCTCCATCCGTAAGTTTGTTACGATATTTTACTGTGTAAAAAGCATTTTGGTTGATTAAAAAAAGTACGGTACGGACCCTACAGGCCATCCCTGGAACTTTTCGCTAAAGGGAAATCGCTTCAAATTCCACCTAATAAACAAATTATGTCCTTTTTGCGCTCGAAGGGACCACGTTTCAAAATTGAATATTTCACGAACAAATCAACCGATTTTGACGAACTTGACGGTATTCGACGCAGTTTTTTAAGTACTAATAGTTATTTTATTAAATCAAAAACAATTCGAGAAGTAATTTCGAAATTTGAAAAAAGTATTTTCGATATTTTTTTTCAGCAATCGACGGCTGCTTATGAGCTGATTTGATTTTGGCATTGATCGTTACATCTGTTTAAAAGTTAGTTAAGTTAAATTATTTAGTTATTATTAAGCTATTTTAAAGTTAAAATCTATTTTAAATTTTATTTTTGAGATTTCTCAAAATCTACTCCGAATCGATTTAAGTGGTTTAAATAATCTAATTTTGGTAAGTATTCGGTATTCGGCTGAATAGTACTTAGATATTCGGTATTCGACTGAATAGGATAAAAGTAGCCGAATAGGCCCAATGCCAAATAATAGCCGATTATTTGTTGCAAGTCTATTGTGAATGATTCTTTTCTATTCCTTTTTTATCTATTGCAAACGTTAGTAGGTCATACAAATATTTATTATGTGTGGGATTCCAATACGCGGCCACGCAATATTGAAGCTAAACACATAGTTACTGCGTTATTGAGTCGTGAAATGATTTCATGAGAAACTGAAGAAAATTATTAATCAGAATATGTTAATATGAGATAAGAGAAACTGTTCAGATTCATCGCTTCGTGTTTCAAAACCGTTTTATGTGTAGTGTGAGGGTAGGTTTAACCGCAGCCCGCGAGCGGGAAGAACCGAAAATTACGATGAAGGTTTTGTGCCAGCTTTCCATCATGATCTGCAGTTTCTTACAATAAACATCTGCGTTAATTATTTGCCTAGTTCAAAAAAAACTGTAGTGGAACTACGGACGTTTACTGTTGGGTTTTCCAAAACCAAAAATAACGTGAAGGAAAACATTCGATCTTTATCTAAAAAATTGCCGTTTTGTTGAATTCCAAATTTGAGACTTTTTATTTCACTTTCAAAATCAGCCAGTCACATTGAAATAATACTGTTTTTACGGAATTATATTTACTTTATACTTGGTGATGAGATGTTCTTTGTTTTCTAGATTAAATTTGTGTCTAGTATGTATGAATGAATTTGGTACGTGATTATGACATACTCAGTTTCATTTTGTTATTTTTATTTTATTTTTTTATTCATTATTACATAACCGTGTTCACAAACCATGTAGTGGTGGTGTAAGTATATCCACTAGCCCATATCGTCCCGTGGGTGTCGTGAGAGGCGACAGATGGAAATTGAAACAGTGAGCAACAGCATCTTCCTGATAACAATTCAAAATAAGACAATCAGCTCACCAGGCGTGGCAACTATGGCAAAATCCCCCCTATGAGGCAATCTATGGGGGAGGCCTATGTTCAGCAGTGGACTTTTGTAGGCTATGGTGATGATGATGATGATTGTTATTCAGTTAGTCATATGTTACTTCGTGATTTCTTTGCAATATATTTATGACCATGCTAACTAACCATGGACTAGAAAATTCGTGTTATTTTTCCGAGTTCAAAAAACTAGATTGTTACATATTCGACGCGTATGATTTTTATGTATGTTTACTGATATTTCCGACACGGCCGAACCGCTTTCAATGATAATAGTTTTATTAAGTTATACTTCCCTTAGGTTGGGAAAATAAATATTGCAGACTAATGAGCTGTGGTAGCTCAGATGGCTAACGCTCGCTGTAAACATAACAGAAAGCGAGTAATCCGGGTTCGATCCCCGCCGGCACCAATAAAATTGTTAATTGCAATTTTAAGTGCTGATTTACCACGTGCTCGGCGGTGAAGGAAACATCGTAAGGAAACCTGCATGTCAGGAATAAGAAAAAAATATTTCGAAGATATGTGAAGTTCGCCAACACGCATTGAGGCAGCGTGGCGGACACTTCCTTGCCCTAAAACCCTCTCAGAAATGATGGGAGGCCTGTGCCCAGCCGTGGGACGTATATAGGCTGTAACTTTACTTTTAATTTTATTTAATGTACCTATATATTTAATAGACATTCTGGTTTTTACATTGAACTTGTGATATTCGTCAGACCACTCAAAAGGATTGAATAATTGAAAAAAAAAAATGAATTCTGACATGGAATCAATTCCTCTTACAGAGCACGCAATATCAATGACATATCTGGTATGATTACTAACAAACTTACAAACGAACTGTGCATTACAGGGTCAAGTGCTTTCGCTGGGTAAATTTTGACTTTACAAACGAACTGCGTGGCCGCCCGAAGAAAGTTGATAATGGCAAACTTAAGGCGATAGCGGTAGCGAATCTATCTCAAACTATAACCATCCTGCGTCGGCTTTTGATGTGGGAAATAGTCGCCTCTTCTGATACTCCTACATCGAAAACAGTGGTCGGTGACAAGCGGCCTATATAATATAAGCATTTCTATAAAAAATACGAATAATTAGGATACGTCGTGAGTTACCGTAATTTAATTTGTACCTGTAAATAAATCAACGTAGAGATGCGACGGGTACAATAACTCCACCGGCGTTCTATTTCCACGTACAGGCGTGGTTTATGTAACAGAAAACTGACTTATGCACCGACGTTCAGTCGGTAGCACTCTTCGATATATTTCCGGTGTATTGCGGGCACGGTAGTAATACTAGATGTTGTCTCTGATTTATATGTTGTCGATATGTGGTAGCTTTCTAGTCTACGGTACTCACATTTATTGCTTCATTGTTTGCCTTCGGGCGAAGACTGTGAGCTCTTCGTATAATTTACTTGTAGCCAATGTGTTGTGTGCTGTTTTAGTGCTTGTTTAGTAAAGGATTGCAATTTATTCGTGTTCGAACTTCTATTGTCAAAGTTGAACAGAACAATATGTACTACCTATTGTTTGTTTTACGATTAAATTATTTAATTGTATAGCGTATTTGAAGAAGTATTTTATGCAAGTTCTTTAAAATTATTACCTTTACCTGAAATAACTAGTAAATAAAAGTAATGAGTACCGTTTAGTGTCGTAAGAATATCCAATAAGGCTGTTGATATTTTTTAAAATATCGGATTTTCGATATATCGATATTTATAAATATGTCAATGTAGGAGTTTAATATATATAAAAAAATATATATCGGCTTTATTAAAAAACAATCGCAAGTGATTAACACAGTTTATAATTAAGTATACTTATTAAACA